GGGGGGGGGGGGGGGGTAGGAGAGGGCCATGGGCCTCAGCTATGTCCCCCCAGTGACCACTCCCTGCCCAGCAAGGGCCACCAGGACACTATAGGAAGCACCCTGGGCTCCCAAGCCTGGGCAATGGGCCAAAGGCCTCAGACATGCCCCCCCAACATCCACAACTAGCCCAGTGATGACAACCAAGCCACCACAGGAAGCTCCCTGGGCTCCTGAGCTGGAGCAGCCAGGGACCGAGGGCCTCAGCCATACCCCACCCCTCTGACATCCACAACCAGCCCAGCAACAACCACCAAGCCACTGCAGGAAGTGCCCCAGGCTCCTGAGCTGTGGCAGCAGGAGGCCAAGGGCCTCAGCCACACACCCTCAACATCTGCAACTAGCCCAGCGATGACTACCAAGCCACCACAGTTAGCACCCTGGGCTCCTGAGCTAGGGTGGCCAGGGACTGAGGACCTCAGTCACACCCCCCAACATCTGCAACCAGCCCAGCAATGACCACTGAGCCACTGCCAGATCCCCCTGGTCTCCCGCACTGGAATGAGGGGGGTGCCAGGGGCCTCAACCAAACCTCCCCTTCCTACTCTTCCACCTTACTTCCTCTACCCTTCCCCTCTCCCCCTCCCTCCCAACTGCTCCGCAACAACTTAGAATGTAAAAAAATAATAATATTAATAAATAAATAGGTTAAAAAAAAAAAAAAAGAATCCAGGATCAGATCCCAGTCAACCAGGTTCTGGGCCTCCCAGACTGGAGATCTCAGAGTTGCTGCAGAATGAAGGCCTCTGCCAGCCCTACTACTCAATCTGCAGAGGGGTTTAAGCTAAGGTACATGCTGATTATCAAACATCCCCACTAGCATTATTACTAGGGGTACTTAGGAAAAAAATATTCGATGCACAGAATAAGAAGACCAATAATCCCGTAACCAGACTGGGGGAAATGGTTCCTTTTCAATTCTAGACATTATTAAAAACACTGTTGTTTTTTCTTTGTTGTTGGTTTTCAGATGATTCATAGATTGTGAACTTGGTTCAGAATAAAGTGGGGGCTTTATAAAAATTATATTACAGAATTATCTTTATTTGCTCTTTCCTCTTATAGGTACGTAAAACTTCTTACATACTGCAGGGAAGGGAGACCTAGGAACAGAGTAATTGTTCCTGTTCAAGATGATGACATGGTTCTCTAGGGGAACTAAGATAACTATTGTTGTGGACTAGATCATAATTTCTGCAGAAAGAATGCTAAATACATGCAAGGAGCAGTTGAGAAGGTATAAATGTGAATTAAGCACACTTCTATTAACTTTTATCAAATTGAGATATTTCATTTCTCTTAGCAACTTTAATAAGATTTATTCTTGTTGTTCACAACCATATTAACCTGCAAGAGATAAATTATGCATTGAAAAACATCACACTTACTTCTTAAAGTCAGAGTACAGAATTATATGAAGGGGGAAAACATGAGAGTACATATGTGGGGCTAGAGCTTGAGGGCACATCTGAAAAACTGGTAGAAAGGGCAAAGGGGCACACAAATTTGGTTCAGAGACTGCAGGCCAGAGCTGGAGAGGAGGGAAGGTTCTCACTAAAGACTGTGTCATCACTACATGCTCCTCTGGGACAGCTCCCCCTCCCCCAAATTTATGCCTGAGTCCTAG